AAGTCACGTATCTAAATAAGTTGAGGATCTGGAATTTTAGTTTGAAGGTTGGAGATTCAAAATCAATTCCTATTTTTCCTAATAAACTAAGTTTAACAGTACAAAAAATCCTTTCTCAATAAATTTATGTAGAACTATTTTTTTAAAATAAGTTTTTTATGTGAAAAACATTTTTTTATATTATATTTCACCTCCACTAACTCCGACCATCACTCAATATATTTAAAAAATTAAAATAAAATTAAGTCACCCCATTAAATAAATGAATAACCTAAATAAACAAATAATTATAACATTACAATACTCTTTAATGCAAAAAATGGAAAAAAAAAAAAAACTCTGATGATTTATATTATCAATATTCAGATGTATAGAAAGTTAAAAAACGAATAAAACGTTTTTTAAAAATCTAGATTTAAATACACCTTGTGCTATATTGTAAATTTCACTCAGTATAAGTGTACTAATTAAACGTAAGTAGTGGGCCACAGGAACATATTGGTTGCCTAATTAAGCCCAAGTACAAATCCCGTATATCTAAAAATCGGCCACAAACTGGGTTTCTCCTCTGTGCATGGGTCTTCTGAAAGCCCAAGTAAAGTTGAAAACCACCCACTCCTCCCCAAACGAAGAAGCAAAAAATTAAAAATTAAAAACAATATTTATTAGTCAGAAAAAGGTTGTAACTAGATAATTTCCCAAACTTAGACATATTTCCAATATCACTTTAAATCTTAATAATATGAAAATCTAATTACTTTATTATCAGTTCGGCTCCATTCTCATTCTCATTCTCCTTCTTTTTCTTTCTCTTATTTTCAAGTACACAATCTTCCATAAAATAATATTAATCGCAAATCAAAAAAATTTATTTCTTTTTCAACCACATATATATTTTTTTTTAAAAAAACACTATTCCAAACATTAAAATTTGGATAGAATAGGGCCAAACGGGGACTAAGATTTTCCATGTCAAATCACTAATATAATTATAAAGTGCGAAATATATCTTAATTCATTGGGAATTTTTTTTTTAATGCTAGATCTTAATTCCGGATCTTGAATTTTGAATATTTACTCTTTTGCTTTTTGATCCATAGTCTTGAGTGTCTTATTTGTCAATTTGACTTTTTTATTATGGATTCTTGAATTTTTCAATTTTTGTTCTTGATTGTGAATTTTGATCCTTCTCTTCAATATGCATTCTCTTGTATTCTTGTGTTGAGAAGTTGTATATGAATTGAGAATTATAATCCTATATATAGTTTTCATATATATTTTGTTCGTTTCATATGCATTTCGTCCATCATGAAATACAATTATAAAGGAATTTGATCTATATACATATAACTCTGTCCACACTCTATTTGAATATCCAAAACCATTAATTTTTTATTAGATCACTTTAATTTTAGATGTAACTTTAAAATAATCATTATACACATTAATTAGATACGTTGGCACTAATTTCGCAACAATATCAATCAAGAAAATCAAATTTATCTCTAACAACATTACTTTCCTTTCAATCATCAATCAATCTAATGAGACATACTCCAAAAAATCCATCTCGTAGAATATTCGAAACTTGACAAAATTAAAAAGAGAAAAAGAAAGTCTCAACAACCCGAAAATTTGCAGTCCTTTAGCCACGTTTTCTCCAGTAACTAAGCAATATAAGCACACAATATCTACTACAGTTAAGCAGAAAAACAACTAAAAACAACATCATTATTTTCCCCAAATGCTGATGCTGTAGGGTTGATCGTGTATTCACGAGTCTTTGGTCGTGCCATTTTCTCCATCTCAAACCTTCTCGCCCCATCTGAGTTTCTACTAACATTTGCCGCTTTCTTTTTCTCGATTCTTCTCTGCATAATGTACTCTTCAGAAATATACACATCCATGCGTAGCTCTCAATACCTTCAAAAAGTGCACAGAAGGAAGTGCAATTTATAGGGGAGTAACATGGGGTGGTCTGTGGGCGTTAAGGACCATGTTTTGGTTTAAACAAGCAAAGCCTGCACTCTTTTTTGTTGATATGCTAATGCAGATGCCAAGAAGCACCTGGTTTTCAATTTTTCTTTTGGCTCTTAGAAGTTTGAATATTTGACACATGGATGTGATGTAACACTTTTAATCTAAATACACCTTTCTTTTTTCATGCACATTTGTACTTATGATGTATGTTTCTTGTCCTTGCCTTGTGCTTCGCAATCTTCGATTAAATAAGAAAAAGAAATACTTGTTGTGCATCACCATTTACAAAGATTAACGAAGTGGAATTTTTTTATTTGGTTGACGAGATTTTGACACAAACAAATCTCGTCACATCATGTATTGATAAAAAAATATGTAAGTTGCAATGTACATATAGCACAATCGATATATTATGTACTTCGTAATGATTCCGACTGTTAAATTATAAGCAAGAACCAAGAGCTAGCAGAGTCAGCGTTTGGAGAAACACTACCATTCAAAGACATGAACGTACTCTGTTGAAACCTTTGTCAGCTGCTTAAGAATAAACATAGATTTGGTCGGCTAAACTAGATAAATTATCCACTCCAAATAATTGATAAAAATTATAGCCGAAAGTTGATGCCAAAACAGAATCTGCGGTCAATCATGGAATCCCGATACAGTCACGTGTAATCACGTGTTCTACGTAAGTTAAATGTTTCGTGAGGAAATTACATGGAGGCGTCCCTTTTAGAAAGAGTAAAATGCACTGCTTTTCGATTTCTAAAAGAGATCGACTTTTGAAAAATTGTTGTCAAGTCTTAAAAAAATACCATTTTCTTTTCTAAGTATAGTCAAAATCTGACGCAAGATGGAAACGTGAATAAAATAAAAGTGTCTAGTTCATAACACATAAACGGGTGTTTGCTCAAATTTCGTTCGAATGGATGTTATAATTATTTGGAATCCACCAAATAAATATTGGAATCCACCAATAAACGAGAAAACTAAAATAGTTTATTAATCAAGAATCGAATAATGAAATTGAATTCTGAAAAAAGTGTACAAAGCCTTTATATATATGCAAAATTATCTCCTAATCTTACTAATAAAAGGAGTCTAAAATAAAGAAACTAATAAATTCTAATCTAATTAAAACTCCTATTCTAACCAAAGAAGAAACTATAGTCCTAATTAAATAAAAAATAAAAGTCTTATTACAACTATACAAAAAAATGATAAAGACAACTAGTAAAGATAGAGTTAAAACACGTGTTTCCTATTAGGAAATAACGTTTATCTTATTTCTTTACTTTTCGAATTGATTTTGGATCTTCCCTTGGTATTCTCTTGTATTAATCCCCTCCACTTCAAAACAACTCGACCCCAAGTTGTCATCAAGATACAAAGTCTTAACAAAGGAAAACTCATTGATTGAATTTTTAATGATCAAAAAATATCTCCCTTCCACTTTAGAAGCTTTATGTGTCTTCCCTGTTGCAATCTTTTATCCTTCCACTTGAACTTGTAGGTATTTACTCTGCCCTTATGTATGTCATCCACATTAATTTGCCAGGATTTGTCTAGTAGAATATGATACCCATCGAATTGAACAAAATCACAAATAACTTCTAATTTGTGACAAGTCTCAATTGGCAAAGGTACATTACAAATTTGAGTTAGCTGAATATACGAACCCTTCGGGTTACTTTCCTTAATCCCAGAAGTGACGGAACTATCTTCCCTTCCGAAAAGAGCTAAATCAACTGGGCAATCGGTTCAATTGGATGATGCACCAGCTTCTTCGTGATTAGATTCTCACCAATGCAACTATCTATGGTCTGACTGCAAATAACATCATTAGCCTGAAACTTTTCATGATGAGTTAAATCTTCCTGCTTGGATGAGCACAAGACTTTCTCCACATTACATACGAAATCTCCTTGTTCTTCTCCACAAAGTTCATTCATATATTCTTCATCTTTCTCTTCCTTATCTCTGACATCCGATTTGCCTTTTTCTACTACAAGTCTCCTGTTATTTTCTCTTCGAACTACGGGCTCAGTAATTTGTTTATTGTTGATTGCCTGTTGTTCTTTTTGCCCATTGTTTCTAACACTCTACAGAAGCAGTTGACAAATCTCTTCAATCTGAATAGTAAGATTGTCAAGCCGCTCATCAATCCGTCGATTTGTTAGATCTAAATTTTCCCTAGTAATTGGTATGTAACCCATGCTATAAATAAAAGATATAGATACGAGAAAGTCGGCTCTAATACCACCTGATGCAGGACGAAAACGTGGATAAAATAAAAGTGTCTACTTCGTAACACGAACGAGTGTTTGCTTGAATTTCGCTCAAACGGACGTTATAATTATTTGGAATCCACCAAATAAATATTGGAATCCACCAATAAACGAGAAAACTAAAATAGTTTATTAATCAAGAATCGGATAATAAAATTGAATTCTGAAGAAGTGTACAAAGCCTTTATATATAGACAAAATTATCTCCTAATCTTACTAATAAAAGGAGTCTAAAATAAAGAAACTAATAAATTCTAATCTAATTAAAACTCCTATTCTAACCAATAAAGAAACTATAGTCCTAATTAAATAAAAAAATAATAAAAGTTCTATTACAACTATTCCTAAAAAAGATAAAGACAACTAGAAAAGATAGGGTTAAAACACATGTTTCCTAGTAGGAAATAACGTTTATCTTATTTCTTTCCTTTCTAAATTAATTTTGGATCTGCTCTTGATATTGTCCCACATTAAAATCTATCTTTCTTTGCATGAATTTCATACTATTTAAGTATTCTCGACAAATTACGCAAAGTTGACGAGAATTTTTAGTTCATTAAGACACTATAGTAATACTTATTAATGCACCCAAATAAATTCCAAATTGTCAAGATTTCGTCATTATTTTGTATAATTCAAGAACCATGTTTAAGAAATTTTTGCCTGATTGAATAACCATATTTAAGAAATGTTGAATCAATATAAAATATTGAAGTTTGGGGTCATTATGTATTTAAATAAATAAATAAATAAATTTAAGAATAAAATGTTTGATATGCAGTGAACATGGACTCAACAATGAATTACATATGATCAATGAACTCAAATAAAAATTTTACAAAAAATCTTCAGTATGACTATTATTCAACAACATAATATTAGATTAGTCCCCAAACAACTCAAAACTTCAATTTGTCAAGAAAACGATGCGCGGTTTGATCAAAGCATTAATGCAGCAGCAGCAAGTTTATATAGTTCTGGACAAAAAATCTATGTTTCCTGTGCAACCACAGAGTTTGGTTCGGCCGGCGTCGGATCCTCAGGCTGATCTAGTTCAGAAGCTGGTGATTCCCCACTATTTTTCCTCATGGAAGTAGTCTTGGTGAGATGAGTGTAGCTACCCTTTTCCTTGAACAATTGTGCAAAGTGGGGTTTGCAGTAAAGGATTCCATCCAAAGCAGCATAGTTTGAAGTTGTCAAATTGCAGCCTCCATGAGCACATCTGAAGCACGTTTTGTGATAAAATTCACCCTCCACTGTCACCTGTAAACATTTTATATATTCATATATAGTACTTACTCGACACTTATGTAACTCTTTTACCTGATACTTTAAGCTGCTAGCGAGAGATGAGAAATATCTATTTTTTATATTTTATTTTGAATACGTCCACTCACTTCAAGTCAGATTTATTTTTCTGACAGAGCCCCCTCTCATCTCTCTCTATCTTTTTATCATAAAGAGGTGGCAGTGAAATTGCGTTTTTAAAACTTTTGAAGATGACTTTTCTTGATGAACCATATATAAGTATATACTTTATGAGTATTTAAATTGCATTTTTGGGAAAGAATTTTGTTTAAAATTCTGAATTTTTGAAATAAAGTTACTAATTTTCCCTTGCAAGTAAACTATGTCACAAGATGGCTAAAACTAGCTTTAGAGCTCGTTAATTGTCTATCTCTTCCGTCTTATTTTCCTTATATTGGTTATGCACATTATTTGTGCATTCGAATTTCACAATTTTTTACGTTATGGGGTAGGAGTCTGTCAATTCCCTGCTAGTTAGCTTGTCGATTTTTAAGGGGAAAAATTCAAACCTTTTCCAGTGGGTACACAGTTTTTTTGCACACTGCACATTTCTCTTGTGTGCCAGAGAAGAAGGTAGAGACTTTACTGGGAGTCCTGTTCTGTAATCACATTGATACATGCAA